TATTGATTTCAGAAAACTGAATGAAATAACAATTGAAGATAAATTTCCACTCCCACTAATTGAAGAAATTTTGGAAAATTTAGGCAAAAGCATGTATTTTTCTACTATTGATTTGGCACAAGGGTTCCACCAGATCCCTATGGATCCTGAGTCTATAGAAAAAAACGGCTTTTACTGTTGAAAATGGCCACTATGAATATGTCCGTATGCCATTTGGGTTAAAAAATGCCCCTGCTACCTTTCAACGTATGATGAATACTGTATTGTTAGAATATATCAACGTTTTTTGTTTTGTCTATATGGATGATATCATTGTTTTTTCAAAATCCCTAGACGAACACATTTTGCATCTTCGAAAAATATTCCAAAAACTGAATCAGTTTAATTTAAAAATCCAACTGGACAAATCTGAGTTCCTGAGAAAAGATGTTCCATTCTTAGGTCATGTCATCACGCCACAAGGCATACTTCCAAACCCAGATAAAATCAAAGTAATTCAAGAATATCCTCTCCCGACTACGATTAAAGAAATCCAGTCATTTTTAGGCCTTATGAACTATTATCGTAAATTTATTAAAGGATTTGCACAATTGACTAAGCCATTCACAAAATGTTTACGTAAAGATGAAAAAATCAATATCAATAATCCAGATTATATCAATGCATTTAAACTTTGTAAAGAAGCTCTTTGTAACCCACCTATTCTGGCTTATCCTGATTTTTCCAAAAAATTTACATTGACAACTGATTGTAGCAATATAGCCCTATCAGGAGTTCTTAGTCAAAATGATAAGCCTATTGCTTTCCACTCTCGAACATTAAATTCTGCTGAACGCAATTACAGCGTTATTGAAAAAGAACTATTGGCAATAGTTGATTCTTGTAAAAAATTCCGTCCTTATTTATTTGGTCAAAATTTTCTAATCGAATGTGATCACAAGCCCCTAGTTTGGTTGAGTTCTTTATCAGTGCCCAATCAGCGATTGATTAGATGGAAGCTTCAGTTAGAAGAATATAATTTTTCAATTAAATATAAAAAAGGCAAAGACAATGTTGTAGCCGATGCGCTCAGTAGAATTGAAATTAACGCTTTAGAGGATGACGATCTTTTATCCATTTTACCACAAGTAGATTCTGTAGAAGAGTTAACAACCCAAGAACTTGATGAAATCTTGAATGAAGATAATTTACCTTTAATTGATTTATTAGATGAAATGCCGTTAGATGAACGACTCAAAATTGTTGAGCAATCTGATGTTACTCGACATTCATCTGCACAAAATCCTATCAATCATATATTGTATCAAGAAAAGAATTTTTATTTTTTCAAAAATCGAATACATTTTCAGTTAAAAAATCAGTATAAAATAACAAAGTCTTGCAATGGTACTTTAATGGTAACAGTCCGAAGTGGATCTGAAACAGAGCAACTTTTGAAATTCATGAAGGAATATCTTCAGCCCGATCATACTTATGGTATTTGGTATGAAAATCAACTTTTAGAATTTAAACTTAACGAACTTTTAGAACAGTATTTTTCGAACAGCGGTATAAGATTTGTTAAAGCTTCTTATAAGCCTATATACCTACTAAAAGACTCATTTACAGAACAATTGTCTTTCTATCATAGCCAAACGCATAATGGTATCAATGAAACTTACAGCCATTTCAAGAAAAAAGCATTCACCCCAAATATGAAAAAAATAATATCAAATTACATTAATCAGTGCAATACTTGTTTGACATCAAAATACGAAAGACGACCAATCGAACTCCCTATGGAAGGACCTCTAATAGCCAAAAGACCATTTGAACATATATTTCTAGATATTTTTCAAGTCGAACAACAAATATTTTAACATTTGTTGATTTATTTAGTAAATATGCCCAGGCCTACAATTTAAAATCAAAATTATCTAACGAAATATTAAACAAAATCAGACACTTCTTTTCCCATCACAATTATCCTGACAAAATAACTTTTGATCCTGGTGAACTTAACACAAAAGTTATAAAAGAATTCTGTAATATGCACAAAATTGAATGTCATGTTACTAGTGTAGGTAACCCCTCATCATTATCACCTCTTGAAAGATTTCATAGTACCCTGAAAGAAAAACTCAAAATTTTACGTCAGCAAAATAAAATCGATTCGATTATTGATCTAATGACGACAGCTATCTTAACTTATAACCAAAGTGTCCATTCTACGACCACATATACCCCATTTTCATTATTATACGGTCCTTACGACGATTTGAATAAGCATTTGATCGATACCCCCACAAAATTATATGATGAATATAACGAGAAACGGTACAGAGAATTACTACCTTTTTATGAAGAACTATCGAACCGTGTACTAGATAAGGCAACGGAAAGACTAGAAAAAATTAATCAAAATCGAAATAAGGAAATTCCAACCTTAGAAGGTCCAGTATATCTTAAATCTGCATTAGATCGTTCACATAAAACAAAACCCCTGTATTCTAAAGAGACCTCTTACGAACAAGAAAATGTCCATATTAATTTGCGCAGTAAAGGAAAAAAGCATAGACTGAATAGAGTGAAACCGCAACGCAAAATTTCTAACTTTCAGGATCCTAATCCAGGCCCTTCAACTAGCCGGTCTAGAGATCCAGCTGATCGAGAATAAAGCACCATATTTTAAGCAAGAGCTAGGTAACGCCTATCTACTAAAAGCGTACCATAAGACATTTTTTCATATAAATCTCACTCTCATTAATGAAAATATCAAGCAAATAACGTCAAATGTCTATTTTGCAAAGCAAAGAATAGATGATACGTTGATAACACAACTTGAACATGAATACAATTTGCTTTTAGACAAATATGAAATGTTAAAATTTAAACGAGTTAAGCGTGGATTATTTAATGGTCTTGGTTCCGTCATAAAATATATTTCAGGCAATTTAGATCAATCTGATCTAGACGAAATAATGGAAAATATGAAAATTCTGAAGGAAAATCAAGATAATTTATCATTACAAAATTCCCGAACCGTCTCTGTAGCAAAACAATTACAAGACAGGTTTGAAAATAACACTTTAATTATAAAGAAAAATTTGAGAGATAATTTGGATAACCTCAACAAATTGCATAGCGAATACGCTAATTCTCAGTATGTCTTGAATGAGATAATAATTATTCACAGATTTTCTAATTATTTATCACGCTTACTGTTAACCATTAACCTGAGCACAAATCAGGGCATAAATCTCTTACAGCTGAGTAAGACTGAAATTAATTATATCCATTCGTTATTAAGTGATCTATTTGACAAAAATGAACTTCTCCCACTTGATAAACTGCACAATTTTGAATTTTTCGAATTATGTGAATTAAGTATTATAGTCCTCGAAGAAGAAATCATATTTGTTCTTCACATACCAACAGTTACTGGTAACTTTATATATTCCAATATATACCCCATTATACACCAAAATAATATTCTGGTATTGAAACATAAAAATATTATCGAAAATGAAACTATACATTTTTGTGATGAATGCAAATTATTGAGTAATAAATATTTTTACTGTACTATACTAATCCATTCCAGTTGTAACTTACTTAAAGTTGAAAATTGTACGTTCTTGGCAAAAGGTTCATTTTCAGAAGTAATTCAATTAAAACATGATAACTATTTAGTGAATACTAACAAGAATATTCCAGTATATGAAGATTGTACCAAAGAAAGAAAAGAAATTGATTCCTCTTTTATTATCAGCTTAAACTGTAAAACATTTATTGATCATACTGAGTATTTGAAGATTTCTGATATTTCGAAACCTTTATACATACCTAACATTATGGTGAACTATGATAAGAATATGTTATTTGAAAATACTGATGTAAAAGGTTATTCGGATATACAATTGAATAATGTTTTATTACACGATAAATTAAAAAATTTAGATTTTTCACACAAAACGTCCACGTTTAGCATTGTAACTATTTTATGTATTTTAACATTTGTTGTAATTATACTTTGTTTAAAAAAACAATTGCTCTCTCTTTTGAAGCAAAAAGAACCAAAAATCAATCAGTCAAAAATGACATTGAACTTAACCAGATTTTTCCTTTGAACCAGGAGGTTCAATCTTCTTGAAGAGGGAGGAATTACGGCACTGCTATGATGATGATCTAATATGTAGAGTTGCTTAGGTTTGCACTTTTCAATTCCTTTGTTCTAGCGTAGGTTATAAGTAAGAGATGCATGTAAACCAAGGTGACCAGTACTCATTCGTCTTCTGTTAAATAAAGTCGCTTTTTTAAAAAGTCGTTCGTTGTTTGCACATTCTTAATTTACATGATCTGGCTTAATAAATATCTATCTATCTATAGCCTCCCCCACCCTCCGCAACCCCTAACAATAAACTTTTAACCATTACAAAACAATTATCAGGAGCCTTTTTGAGCGTTTTTTTATTTTATGTCGAAGAAACTACTGCTTGGTGTTTACAGTATATTCAGATAAGAGATAGACCGGACATAAACAAGACCACGTGATCATCGAACGCTGTAACATTCGGCAGGGACGTATTAAGAGTCACGCAGTACATATTTTAGATAGTAGATGCTGCTTTGCGTAACTTTGTAGTAAATTAGCACAATTCGATGTGTATACGATTGGTGATGCATATAGGATCATGTGGGGGTGGGGTAAGAAATATATAATGATGTAAATATACATAAGGGTTTCAAAATTTTCGCTTCGATTTCCAGCTTCGGATGCCGCCTATATCTCTTAAAATTGCTTTTAGAATATTGATTAGTATATTTTTTGATTTCTAGGTAAATATGTAACCAAATTAAAACGTTCAAAACGTAAAAAAATGTGCATGGTTGAACATTGTCAGAAAGTAGATTCTTGAATAGGTTTTGCCAAAATGGGTTCAAAAATGTCAATAATTAATTAAAAAATACAGTAGCTTTATAATTACTTATAACTTACCGAATTTGATGAACGACATCTTTTATTGGAAAGATGAGCTTGATGAGCTTTCATCATCGCTACTGCCTGAAGCACCAACGTCAATAATGAATGGCTCGACTTGTTCCTCTAAAATATTGTCCAGTTCCCACATTCTCTTTTCAACTTTGTCTTTCACGTGCTTAATACAGTTTTCCCATTTTTGCGCTGTTATTAATTCTAGTGCTTCTTTGAAAAGTCCTTTGAGGTCACAAAATTTAAAAGTTGTATTGTGCTTAGCTATATAATTTTTAACCTCTGCCCATATGAGCTCAATGGGATTGACCTCGCAATGGTATGGAGGTAAACGGAGCACAGTTTTATTTTGACTTGCTGCCATTTCGTCAATGGCGTATTTTTGATATTCCGCCTTGTGATCCTTGACAATTCTTAATAATTGTACTTTCAGCATTGCTTCTTCAAAGTTGATATTTTTCGAACGGAGCCAATTTTGAACATCAACTTTCCTTGAAGCCGTTGTTGGGACCTTCTCCATTCTTCGAGAATGATAAGGCGCATTATCCAACACAATTACTGCGTTTTCCTCTAAGTTCGGTAAAATTTCTGAAAACCACTGTTCAAACGATTCGCCATTCATTTCCTCGTGGTAATCTCCAGTTTTCTTAGACTCAAAGCACCACAGACCGTCAACAACAAATCCATCCTCACTGCCAATATGGCAGATAATGAGCCTTTTCCCTTTACCTGGAAATCGAAGTACTAACTGGTGTAGATTTATTTCAATAAGCGAACCTTTTTCAAATGTTTTCATCACATTCAGCGAAAAAACATTGAGACATGAGTATCAGATTGCTATAATTGGGATTATTTAGTCATATTGAAAGAAAGAATATTGAACGTCGTAGATTACTCAGCGCTTCACAATTTAATTTAAAGTTATAAACCTTTAAAAAATGAATGATCAGGAACCTGAAATACGCGCAAATATTAATATTAACAAATTATAACTTTATAAAGCTTAAAGTATGAATTAAAGTGATTAGAAATATTAGGAACGGTACACAATATAAAACTTAGTAACTTTTTTTAAGTTTATAATTTTCGACATATTTTAAGATTATATTAAAAAATTATTGAAATATCGAAAACACATAAAAACATGGCTTAAAAAAGTTCTAACAAATGAAAATGACAATAAAACATCCACGCATTTTATCGAAAGTTATAAAAGTTTTGTTACTTGTAATATGTTTTATCTGCCCCCTAGAATTAATGTTTAGAACCTTGTTCCCAAGGTTTGAAACATCCGATTGTTGTCTATTACTCGTATTTACCTGCTGGATTTTTTAATCCGGTTGACAGTCCATCTAGAAAGGCCCTCCTGGATGAAGTTACAGAATCATCAACTCATACTTTACTTGTAGTGTGTCCTGCGTTTACCCCCGTTTCATCAAGGTAATAAATCTTCCTGTTTTGATTTCTATATTTCCTAATTTTTGTTAAATAATCCCTCCTCCATAGCACAATTTCTTCTCTATCCAGTAGTAAACTATTACGACCCCGTTTTTTCCATTTGAAATTTAAATGCTTCAGTAACGCATGGAAAGTTGATCGTTTGAAATTTGGCAACGTTGTATCTCCATTTACCTCCTGCAGTACTTTATCTATAGTAGGTATTTCATTCCTAAAGAAGAATTCATGCACTTTCCTCCTAATCGCATGCTTATCAGCTTCATCCAATGATTTAACAATACTTTTGCGATGTTTACTGGTCATTGGCTCAGAAAAGGTGTGATTTTTTGTGTATTGTCTTAACACATTAAACACTGATGCGCGACACACCCCAACTTTGTGAGAAACCTTCACAACAATTTCTTTGATGGTTGATGCCTCGTTCTCCTCGCGCTCGATCTTATATATATTCAAAATGACCTCTTTCATTTCTGCACTCAGGTGTCTTTTTTTAGAGCGTTTCCTAGGTGGACTACAGGAGTTTACAACTTCATCGGCAGTAGAGATGATCGATATATCGGTACCGGCGACCTTTCCCGGTGACTTGAATGGTCGCCGTTAGTCCCGGCGACCGGATTCTCCATGAAGCAGCGACCCAGATCGCTGTTTGGAAGTATCGGTATCGGTAACCACTGATCGGTAGCTGTAGCGCTGTTTCGGTCGCGGTCGCTGCCAGGAAGCATATACACATCGTGTTCGAGATCATCGCGCGGGAAGTACAAGGTCGCTACAGCGTAGCCTAACCTGTTTTGTTAGTTTTTATTGTTATTGTTGTGAGTTCCAGTTTCATAGAAAAATGTTTCGTTTATTAAGCAATGTTTAACATATAAAAGAAGCATTTTATACTACATTTGTTATGTTTTAAAAGTTTATTTTGACTGGTAAAATAGTATTTTGTTTTACTTTTTAAGATTCATAGAAATATATTTTATGTATTTTTATGATTTTATGTGTTTTGTGCTCAATATTGTTAAAAACAAAAACCTTAAATATAGTTTAATTCAAATCTTCAGGAACCTGAACATCTACACCTCCTTAATATCAATGGATAACCGCCGCCAAATATCGAGTAATTTAATCAGCGCCAGGGAGTCGCTGGCTGCTGGCAGCGACCATAGATAAGCAGTGACCTAAAGCGCTGCTAAATCTACCGGCGACTTTAAGGTCGCTGTCACCGTTATCCCGGCGACTTGCAAGTCGCTGCTAAGATCATCTCTAATCGGCAGTATCTGTACTACTGGGCATTTGCGCAAGCAGTTGATAACAATAACAATCAATAACAAGGTATAACAATAACAACGACAAACTCAACAACTTAATAAGATAACAACGAAAACGTCCAAAGAAATATCAAATTGCAATGATGCACACGACATACGTAACACGTCTGAACCTGAATGTGACTCTGCCTTGATACGACTGCTCTGCCGCTCGGCATAGGCATTTAATTGCGAATTGACCAATGAGGGCTCCTGTTTTACGTCGAGACGGCGGCGTTAGCGTGAAAATCACCTGAACCTTTTGTTTACATCCGGTCTATCTCTGATCTGAATATACTGTACAGTCTTCAAAATGCATCAGCTCTCCATCCACAATAACAAACATCCCGGCCAAAACGGATCTTTTACGCGATTGCTGTTCGTTTCGTTTGTTATCTATCACCGAACAAGATGAACTTGTCGGGCCAAATTAGGACGGAGATAATACGTTAAGGGAAGTTTTTGTTTCGCTGAGGCTTTAACGACGACCCAGTTTCGGGACGAATATGCGGAGTCGGTAAACGTACAGAAGGGCATCGTTCTTCCTTCGGGGATCGCCTTATAATTAATAAGGATACGCTGTTCATTATTTGCGGCAGTCACAGTGTACCGCCGAAGTTTCTTTGATATCTCGGCGAAAATTTGTACAATGCTGAAAAACATTGGAGTTTCTTTATACTGTAATTTGTAGTTCAGGCTCAGGATGGGACAAAACTGAAATTGATTATTTTCTCATGTAGAACGGTGCTCTTCTTGCAGAGGTAATCCAAGAAAGATCCGATAACACGTTTTGAGGATTATTTTTGTGTGTAGGCGAGACCGGGGCTGGTTGTCACATGGGTTGGTTGCCACTATTGTTAAATCTCAGCAGCTCCGCAAGATGTAGTTGCCCGGCGCGCTACACATCGTTTCTGCATCATTTAGTACGTTGGTAGATTAAGGTCGCACACACAAAATACACAAATCGCCCTGACCTGAGTAAATTTTTCGTTTGCCACATAATTTGTGTTTAAAAGACTACATTTGATAATAAAAAGAACCGTTGAATTTATTTTGCTCTTCAATAATCCGAATACGACTTAACGTAAGTATTGACTTTGAATTTGTTAATTTATTGACGCTATCTAACCTTAAAACTTGATTATCTAGTGGGGCAGATTGTCTCAAATTAGCGGGGGCCTCTGTCACATGGGACAAACAGCCCCCACACCAGACGATTAGCTTTGCACAGCATTCTACGTAGGTATACAGGGTGTCCCAGAAGTCGACGTCAAGCCGAAACCGGGTGATAGGCAAAGTCATAACAGCTATCAGAAAAATATTTAAAAAAATTTTATGTATGTGTTTTGAAAATTAAGGTCTTTGAAAAGATATAGAAATTTCACACCCTACGGCAGTCTGTCAACCTGTTCTGTTACAAAATAACTTTTTTGGATTCTATTTTTACAATGTAATGATGAATAATGCATCTTCAAACTGGTGTCTCAACCTTACTGCCAACTTTCCTCGTTCAGGAAAAATTGCCACTTATTTCCCAACCAAGTATTCCAATGTAAAACTTTGCTCAACTTTAACTGGCTGTACTGGAAAAAGTGTACTACGAGAGTTTGGCAAGTAACCTTAAAGTTGGCGCATTTAATAACGATTCCAAAATGGTATAACACTTAGAAGATTACTCGTTAACTTATGCACAATTTTTATTTGAAAAAAAACTGATGAAAATTTTTCAAAATTTCCTAATTAAACAGCGATTATGAAAACGCACAAGGACCCTAAGGATAACTGTTTGCACAACAGTGGGCGTCAAAATGCTGCTGATGATGATTTACCTTTACAGCAAATGCTCAAACTGTTTTCCTTCAGCCGCAATACACGCTCGACATCTTCTTAAAAAGATCGGGTTATTAAACGAGCGAATCCACGGTTATTAACAAACTCAGCTGCTTCCAATAGTCTTTGGCGTAGCTCAGATACATTTTGAATCGGCTTGAAATACACTTTTTCTTTTACAGTTCCCCAGTAAAAAAATCTAATGGATTCAAATCAGGTGATCGGGCTGGCCACGGTATTGTACCAGACCGCCCTATCCATCTGCCTGGAAAGTTTTGATCGAGATACTCTCTCACTGAGAGTGCATGCGCGCTGGGCAGCATCATGCTGAAACCACATGTCCCTGTAAATACTCAGTGGCACGTCCACCAATAAATTTGTACATGATTTTTCAAAAAAATCCAAATAAACTTCAGCAGTCAAAGTCTCTGGGAACTCAAACGGACCGATTATTTTACCATTTAAAATTCCTGTCCAATGGTTTATATTGAAGCGATATTGAGATTTATCTTCTCTCATCAAATGTGGGTTTACTACGTGCCATCGTGTAAGTTACGTACCCCCTTTCTTAAATGTGGTTCATCCGACCATAAATTTTTTCAAAGAACTGTGGATCTTTCCTGTGTCTTCTAACAATTGGGCGACAAAAGCAATAGGCTCAGAATCCCGGGGCAGGAGAGGTTGAATATGCTGTATGTGGTATGGATGAAGCACATACTTACTTGCTATTGCACACTTTGATACCGATCAGTACTCCTTCGTTTCCTGCGCATCTTTACATGTTCGTGCTTGTTGATTTCGTACTGTTACTAATTTTGGATTCGTGAACTGGACTTTTGATCGCTTGTGTTTGGATTTGGACTGTTTAATTGCTCTTCAAAACAACATTTGCTTCCTTAGACATCTTTGATGTGTGATTGTGCAGTGCCGCTATGTCCGTGTACACCACAAGAATATGCTAACATGCACCTCAGTTATGGGGAATGCAGATGCAACGCTAGTGCTGCAGCGAGATTTTACTGTGAGAGGTACCCGAATGCAGCTCGTCATCCAGATCATCGAGTGTTCACAAATGTGCACCGCTTACTGTTCTCAGAGGGCCAACTACCAAACCAATCACACGGTGAGGGAAGATCTTTCCTTCCTTACGAAGACGTGGTGCTAGGAGCTGCCGAAGAAGACCCGAGTACTTCAGTGCGTGCAATAGAACTAAAACAGGTGTGCCCAAAAGTACAGCCCTCTTGCAAAAAAACGTGCTCCATCCATACCACGTACAGCGTGTTCAAGCTCTTCTGCCCCGGGATTATGAGCCCGAGTTGCTTTTTGTCGCACAATGTTAGAAAGACACAGGGAAGATCCACGGTTCTTTGAAAACATTTTATGGTCCGATGAGACCACATTTAAGAAAGAGGGTACATGAACCTGCATAACTTACACGAGTGGCACGTAGCAAACCCACATTGATGAGAGAAGATAAATCTCAATATCGCTTCAGGATAAACCATTGGACAGGAATTTTAAATGGTAAAATAATCGGTCCATTTGAGTTCCCAGAGACTTTGACTGCTGAGGTTTATTTAATTTTTTTGCAAAATCATTTTATTGGAGGACGAGCCACTGAGTATTTACAGGGACGTGCGGTTTCAGCATGATGGCTGCCCAGCGCACTATGCACTCTCAGTAAGAGAGTATCTCGATCAAAACTTTCCAGGCAGATGGATAGGGCGGTCTGGTACAATACCGTGGCCAGCCCGGTCACCAGATTTGAATCCGTTAGATTTTTTTTACTGGGGAACTGTAAAAGAAAAAGTGTATTTCAAGCCGATTCAAAATGTAGCTGAGCTACGGCAAAGACTATTGGAAGCAGCTGAGTTTGTTAATAACCGTGGATTCGCTCGTTTAAACCCGATCTTTTTTAAGAAGATGTCGAGCGTGATTGCGGCTGAAGGAAAACAGTTTGAGCATTTGCTGTAAAGGTAAATCATCATCATCAGCATTTTGACGCCACTGTTGTGCAAACAGTTATCCTTAAGGGTCCTTGTGCGATTTCATAATCGCTGTTTAATTAGGAAATTTTGAAAAATTTTCATCAGTTTTTTTTTCAAATAAAAATTGTGCATAAGTTAACGAGTAATCTTCTAAGTGTTATACCATTTTGGAATCGTTATTAAATGCGCCAACTTTAAGGTTACTTGCCAAACTCTCGTAGTACACTTTTCCAGTAGAGCCAGTTAAAGTTGAGCAAAGTTTACATTGGAATACTTGGTTGGGAAATAAGTGGCAATTTTTCCTGAATGAGGAAAGTTAGCAGTAAGGTTGAGACACCAGTTTGAAGATGCATTATCATCATTACATTGTAAAAATAAAATCCAAAAAAAGTTAATATTTGTAGTAACAGG